TCGGATCTCCTCCAGGAAATCAATGCATTCTACTACTGAATTACTACTCTAAATTAGTACTCTAGCCCACAGTACACTTTCCCTTTCCTAAGTTTCTCTTGGGCTTAAAAGCCCTACTTCATAGTTGAACAATCCAATAATATCATAGCGTTGGTTTGTTTTCTAATTGCTTCGTGAGTTAATCTTGTCTCCCCAACTAGACTGTAAACCACCTGAAGGTATGTTTTCATTGAATACTGCTCTGGGGTTGGCAAAGGGCTGGGCACATTGTGACTCTGATAAATGATTTTTGGTTGATTCCAGTAAATCTACAGATCATTTGAAAGAACCTTGAAGGTGGGGAGGGGTTGAAGTGGGGGTGCTCAGGTCTCACAGTCTATAGAATCATGAGCCTATTATGTTTTCTTGACTACCAGTTCAATGCTACTGCCTATTTTATTCCTCAAGTATTTTGTCCATTACAAGTACTTGAAAAATGTTTTGACAAATAATAATGATCAAAGGGAAGATGTTGCTTCAGGTATAGACAGATGGCTTTTTTGCTTCTAATCTATTACCTAATTGTAGTTATCAATTCATTTTAAAGGCAATTGAACTTCTTCCTCCATCACCTCCCCCAGTTGTCATTGTGGAAGTAAAGCAATAACTAATATGTTTCCAACTTAAGGGGCTCTAAATGGATTTTGCCACAGGAAATAAAAAAGCTTAGAGAACTCAATCATGAATGAATCATCCAGAATCAAATCATTTCAGAAAATATGTTAATCAAGCAATAAGCATTTATGAAGCCCCTACTATGTGGCAGACATTGTATTAGGCAATGCAAATGTAAATACAAAAATAAAACTTGCAGTCATAGAGCATACATTCTATCAGGGAAGAAAACAAGTACATGTATAAGAGTATGTAGAATAAGTACAAAGGTTTTTTGTTTGTTTGTTGTTTTGTTTTGTTTTGTTTTAACATGAGATAGGGAGGAGAGGTATTTGTAGCTAGTGCCTCAGGAAATGCTTAGTGTAGAAAGTGGTGCTTCAGGTGACTCTTAAAGAACAGAAGGACTTCTGTGTGGTAGAGGTAGGGAGAGATTACATTCCAGGTTTAGAGGAAAACCAGTGAAAAGGCATTGACAGGGAAGGTGAAATATAATGTGGTGAGGAATAGCAAGAAAACCAGTTTGACTGGATCATATACGAAGAGGTTAATTAGCTTTCACAAAATAAATATTTACTGTTAAGGTATGGAAAGGACAGAAATTACAAAACATCTCCTAGGTGTTCATGCTCCCCTCTGAATAATAAAGTTAGAAAGGCAGGTTTTCAGGTTTGTGAAGAGCTTTAAAGGCCAAACAGAAGAGTCTGTAGTTTATCCAAGAGGTAATAGGGAGTCACTAGAGTTTATGGAGTAGGGGAGTGATGTGATCAAACCTGTGCTTAAGGAAAATCACTGGTAGCTCTGTGAAAGTTCAATGGAATGAAGATAGACTTGGGCAAGGAAACCAATTAGGAGGCAAGTGTATTAATGCGGGCAAGAAGTGATATGGATCAGAACTAAGGTGATATCTATGTAGGTAGTGAGAAGGGAACTGGATGCAAGAGATATTTCAAAGGTAGAAATAGCTAGATTTGGAAATTTATTGGCTATATGAAGTAATGGAGAATGAATAGTTTGAGAATAACACTGAGACTGAGGACCTGGGAGATTGGAAGGATGATGGTGCACTAGAGCAGGGCTTCTTAAATTTTTCCACTTGAGGTCCTTTTTTCAAGTTTGCAGTATTCAGTGTTCCTTCATGCTGCATGGCCTGAGGGCATGCACAGTGCAAAATGCACATGCTTTCTGTTCAAAACCAAGGCTGCAGTAAAGTTGCTCCATGCAACACGGGCAAGCACTGCCAGAAACACCTAGGATTCATTATGTGTTTGATTTTAAATTAATTTTTGGTTATTGTGAGTTCAAAAACCTTTTACTGTTGCCAAACAGTTTAAGAAGCACTGCACTAGAGAAAAAGGAAAGTGTGAAGTAGGGCTAGGTGAGGGTGAGAGGGAAGAGGGAAAGATAGGTTTGGTTTTTGGCACCAATTTTGAAAAGGCAGTTGGTAATAAAGGATAGGAGATCAGAAGAGAAGTTAGGGCTGGATCTAACTTTTTACCCATATAAAGAAATTATGTAAATCCATAGGGATGAATGAATTCACTAAGAGAAAAATAGGACCTGAAACTGACCCGCTTATTGTGATATCGATGATGAGCCAGCAAAGGAGACTGGCTACAGAGGAGATGGAATCATTCTAAGAGATCTATCACAAGGGTTCCACAACCACTGAAAAATATTTTGGGCTATACTCCATTGATAGCAGATAGTAATGATGGGGTGTGGCCCAGGCCAAGGTCTTCGCCCCTTGCTCCAAAGGGAATCTGCCTCCCCTTTGTCTACAGGCCCCAGACCCTCATCTCCCTTTGAAAGCCTTAGCCTACCTTTTAATCTCATTCAGATACCTTTCAGTTCCTTCATTATCTATTCCCATTGTCTATTCAATCTCTTAGACATTCCAATCTTAATTCTCACCCAGACCATTTTCCCAGACCCTTCCTTGGTCATCCAAAGTATATAAGATCTAATCTGGCCCCCATTTGGGGCCAAGAATGTCTCATGCCCGCTCATCCTTACAGACATCACCTGGCTTAAGTGTTTTATCACTAATAAACTTTTCCTCTGGCTGAAGAAGATTTGAGTTGAATTCATTCAGGCAGGGCCTGGTGCTGTGATCTTGGGGTTCTAACAGCACCCCAAAGTCCTAGACCTCTTCAGTACTAGATGTTTTTCAGAGTTAGAAGACTTTTCTTACTCCTTCTTCCCTTCCCCTTTTCAGTAGATCATTTTATCCTGTAAGTTACAGAGTAAATTCATAATTATACTCCTCCCCACCAGTAATAATAATTAATCAGTAAACATTTATTAAGAACCTCTTTTGTGCCAAGCCCTGTGCTGTAATAAAAATAATAAATTAAAAGGTGAGGATGAGATATTTAGTGAGAAATCACATTTACACAGAATGTAAGGTTTACAGATCACTTTCCTGAAAGCAAACTTGGTATAGGTAGTATTTGAATGCCTATTTCATAGGAAGGGAAACTGAGATTCAGAAAGCTGAAACAACTTGTTCAGGATCAGACCACTTGTAAGGGATGATAGGGATCATGGATTTAGATCAGGAAGAGAACTTAGAGGTTATCTAGTCTTAACTATTCATTTTCTAGGTAAGGAAACTGATACCCAGGAAGCTGAATGATGGGCCAAGGATCATGCAGGTAACAGGTAGCAGAGGTTTGAATCCAGATTCTCTGATACCAAATTCAGACTGTTATATATGGTACAAACCTGCATTAGGATGGAGATATAAGCTCCAATTCTGGTACTTTTCTTACATGCTACTATAAAGTTTTATCATATTAATGGAGTTTTAATCCATGGAATTATTTCAATATATAGTAAACCCTGAGCTTGACTTATTTAGATTTGATAATTCTGAAGGACTAGGCTGGGAATTTGCAAATTAAAAGGAGACTTCCTAGGAGAATTAATTGTTTTAAGAGGATTGCAATGGAGAAAAAACGTGGTTTACCTCCTTCAGAAGTTGTCATTTACATACAAAGTGTGTTTTGCAATATAAAGAAAAGCTTGGTTTGGTTCTTGAAATGCTAATTACAAATCACTCTAGAACCTTTTTGACTGTTCCATTAAAGTCTGGACTCTCTTAGATTAATTTAGGTTACCAGAACTACTTGGAGGTCAACCTTGAAAACTTCAACTTCTAAAAGGCAGTCTTTTTTTTTCACTTTTATATTGCTTATATTTTATATTTCCTTGGTGAGGTTTTATTGAATTTTTACTTTAAACTTGCAGTTACATAATGCCAACTATAATAAACCAGAAAAGGGTAAGGTTGGGGAGGGGGAGGAGAAGGCCTATCTTAATTTTTAGTCAGAGGTGTTCAGAGGCTCAAATGAGATAATGGCTGTAAAATAATTTTCAAACCATAAAGTACTATATAAATAATGGTGATGGTGATGATGATAATGAGTAGCTTTGTCACCTGGTCTCCACTTTGATCATGACTTGATGCCCCTAACCTTTTACTGCATTACTTTTAACATATGTCATTAAAGGTCAAATAACCAGTCTCTCTTAACGGGAAGGAAATGTATACACACGGAAGTTTTAGTTTAATCTGTACTATGAGCACTTTAAGTCTAGATAGAGGCAGCTAGATGGCTCAGTGATTACAGCACAAGGCCTGGAGTCAGGAAGATTCATCTTTGTAAGTTCAAAGCTGGCCTCAGATACTTACTAGCTGTGTGACTCTGGGCAAATCACTTAACTCTGCCTCAGTTTCCACATCTGTAAAATGAGCTGGAGAAGGAAATGGCAACCAGTATCTTTGCCAAGAAAACTCACAGAGTCAGACAAGACTGAAAATAACTGAACATGAGCAAGTCTGGATGATTAACAAAGCAGTAAGTAAAGCCCAGATTTGTATTAATTGCTCTCTTCTGATAAGTAAATGCTCACATTGAAAATTTAACAGCTGTTATAAGCCTGTTAGAGTTGACTCCAGCGCAACCCCTCTTTACACAGCTCCTGGAGACCACTGCAGTGCAGAGGAATTCTGTCCACCTTGCTTATTTGATAATTTGACTATCAATATCTTTAGGTATTTGAGGGGAAAAAAAATTGAGCATTTAGCATGAGCAAAATGAGGGTTCTATAACCATAGGTTCCCAAACCTTTTCAGTTGACAGTGCCTTTTGTATCTCAGCCCCAATGCCAACAGAAACACTTACCAGTCAAGAATTTAACTATTAAAATAAAAGTCCCAATGATTTAATAGATAGTTATGCCCCAATAACTTATTGGCTGTTTAAAAAATACACAGAAGTTGAAATAAAAAAATAATTTTCCTGTATTAAATATATTTTAATTTCATTTTAAAATGATTACAGTGACAAAGTATGACAAAATGATGGCCCAGAAACAAGAAGATTCTGCGTCCTCCTGTTGCAAAAGACTGAAGGAACTGTACTTCAATGACGTGTATTAGTATACTACTGGAAAGAGCTGTGTATTTGGAATCAAAAGAAATGTCTGAGTTCCGCTTTTGCTACTAACTGCTTATTATATGAGGCAGATAGGTGACACAGTGGATAGAGCACTAGGCCTAGTGTCAAGAAGACTTATCTTCCTGAGATCAAATCTGGCCTCAAACACTTACTAGCTGTGTGAGCCTGGGCAATCACTAATCCTGTTTGCCTTAGCTTCCTCATCTATCAAATGAACTGGAGAAGGAAATGGCAAACTACTCCAATATCCTTGCTAAGAAAACCTCAAATACGATCACCAAGAGTGAGATACCACTGATTAACAACAGCTTATTATATGATCTCAGCAAATCTTTTAAGCTTTTTGTGTTTCTTTATTCATATATCTTTTTAGTATATTTAATCTTATTTAACACTTTATTTTCCCAATTACATGTAAAAATAATTTTTATTTTTTCAAAATTTGAGTTCCAAATTCTCTCCCTCCCTCCTCCAGGAGGAAAGAGGAGACCCACTGTGGCTTCAGTGCAGATCAGAGTAGTAGTAGCCCTGGGGCTGAATTAGCAAGCTGGAACAACCACCAGAATGAGGCCACTGCAAGGCCATGGTCTAATGTGCTTTTTTACAGCATTGACACGTGATTTCTAAGTGTTTATTATTTTCCTTTTGCAAGGTAACTTGAATATATTTTGAAGTTACTTTAGCAATATTGGGCAAACAATTTGACGTAACGGATTATACACGTGTAGTCATGCAAAACACATTTCTACATAAGTCACTCTGTGAAAGGAAATGCAGACAAAAAAAACACCAAGAAAAAATAAAGAAAGTAAAGAAAAAGTATCTTTGATCTGCATTCAGGCTCTACCAGTTCTTTCTCTGGAGATGGACAGCACCTTTCATTGTAAGTCCTACAGAATTTTCTTGGATCATTGTATTGCTGAGAATGGCTAAGTCTCTCATAGTAGATCATCATACAATATTGTTGTTACTGTGTAAAATGTTCTCCTGGTTCTGCTCACTTCACTCAGAAGCAGTCCATTCAAGTCTTTCCAGGTTTTTCCCAAGTCTGCCTGTTCATCATTTCTTATAGCACAATAGTATTCCATTACATTCATATACCACAACTGTTCAGCCATTTCACAATTGATGGGCATCCCCTCAATTCCCAATTCTTTGCCACCACAAAAAGAGCTGCTGTAAATATTTTTGTACATGTGGATCGTTTTCCCATTTTTGTGATCTCTTTGGGATACAGCCCTAGAAGTGCTATTGCTAGGTCAAAGGGTATGCACATTTTGATAGCCTTTTGGGCATAGTTCCAAATTTCTTTATCTATATCAGGATAGAGTAGTAGTGTGAAGGGATGAGGCTTCTGCACATGGTTTCTTCCTAAGTTGATCTTCATCAATTCTTAATCAGGTTGAAGCCACTAGAAGTGAACTGGCAGATTTTGTGGAAGACGTGGATGAACCTGAGTACTGTGAATTTGGGGAAAATATCTTCTCCCTACATAAACTAACATCTGAGACCAAGAAAATGAAACCATGGGGTTCGCATTTTATTTTTCTCTTTATGGCAACAATAGGATGACTAAATGTTTCCATTTTACAATCCTGTTAGAGATTTCTTTACAACACAGGGAATTCTGGTAATACTAACCACAGAGAAATGTATTTTCCAAAGAAACAAACGACCTTTAGCAACCCTTGTGATCTCAAGGCTTGCACACTTCCCCTATTTTTCTACCTGCCTTGGAGTGCTTCTGATTGGTTGTGTACTCTAAGAAAGCCAAAAGCCATCACCCCTTCTCTCTTTCCCCCCTGCCCCGGTGTACCCTAAGAAGTTGAAGCTGCTACTGGGAGTAGTGTTCCTTAGTTTGCTAACAAATTTATTTTCCTTTCAGGCTGGCTATGCACTTTTTGACCCCTAATCTTGTAGACATGATGATGAGTGAAATTCTCTCTGGGCGTTTGAGAAATCCAATCTGGGAAATTCCTGTGAGAGTCTGTAGGAGGAAGTTTAGGGAGAGCCAAAGCTGAACACCAAAAAGATCTGTGCCCAGGAGGGGACCTTTGTCCCTACTGAGCAGAAGCTTATGCATCCTCTTATTTTCTTAGGGAAGAAATAGGACTTCTTAGTCCCCAGAATGGCAGCCAACTAGAGGCAGAGATAAAACCTTTCAGCCTCAGAGATAGAAGCCAGGATGAGTCAACTGTAGAATCTCTCAGGCCTAGGTATAGCAGCTAGGAAAGAGGAGAGCCCTGTGGCTTCAGTGCAGATCAGAGTAGTAGGAGTCCTGGGGCTGAATTAGTAAGCTGGAACAACCACCAGAATGAGGCCACTGCAAGGCCTGTGGTCTAATGTGTTTTTTTATAGCATTGACATGTGATTTCTAAGTGTTTATTATTTTCCTTTTGCAAGGTAACTTGAATATATTTTGAGTTACTTTAACAATATTGTAATTCTAAAATAAACATCTAATTTTATTATGAAATTTAGCAAATGTTAATAAATAAACCAACTTATTATCTGGAAGGAGGAGGAAGAGTACCACTTGCCCCCAGCCATTCACTATTCAATGTGAGAAGTGATAAAGGCCTGAATTAGCTGGATGGTTATGTGAGTGGAGAAAAAGGGATGGATGGGAGTAATGTCACAGAGGTTTAATGAACAAAACTAAGCTATTCATTGGGCATGGGGAGTGTAAAGAATAAAGAGTCAAAGACGTGGAGGTTGTGAACCTAAAATAGTGCAACGTGTGTAGTATCATTGACAGAAATAGGGAATTTAGGAGCAAGAAGATGGGTTAGGGAAAGTCTAATGAAGTTTTTCTGGACACACTGAGTTTGAAATGCCTATGGAACTTTCAGGTAGAGCTATCTAATAAGAAGTGATTTAGAACTGGAGCTCAGGAAGAAGATGAGGACTTGATTTCAGAGTCATATACATGTGATAATAAAAGCTGTGGAAGCTAAAACAGGCCAGGGCAGAATTGTCAATTACATTGTGAGGAATTGCGACGTAGGTCAGATGAAGAGAGCATCACTTTTCTTATCAACCCTCAAATACAAAATTTCCTTTCAGAGACCCTGAACCATCAGGAAAACACTATAAACTTAGAGAATTTTTAGAAGGTGAGAGTTCACCTTGATTATTTTTGGTTTCTTAGGAGTTTTTCTTTCCCCTCTTCTTCCCATTGGTTCAATTAAAGATATCCAATATATATTGTTAGTTTGAATGCTTGCATGTAAGCTGAGGCCCTTCAGCTAGGGATGAAGATATATCATGGATTTCCAGGGAAAACTCTGTGGGTATGTACCAATAAGTTTCAATTTGTGAGATGTCTTCAAGATTGATCCTGGTCTGCATAAGCTTAGCATTTGGAGTTTGGGGCTACAGGTTACATTAAAAATGAAGGAGTTTGACCAAATAATATCTTAAGTCTCTCATAACTCTGAATCATATGAATTGTCCTTGATTTTCCCTTTAATATTTTAAGATATTGGCATGAACATTAGTAATCTGATATTTTTTATTCATAATTTCAATTCAATTTCACCAAGTCTTTGTTAAATTAGCTCCTTACAATATGCCTAGCACTTGCACAAAAAAGGATCTTATCTAAAAATCCAACAAGCCCTTAAGAAGTTTGCAATTTTTTTTGCCTACTATTTGTTTTATATCATAACATGATCACTTCTCTATTTGGTATGTGATTATAAAAGTTTATGTTTTCCCTACATTTACAGGTACGTCTATTCAGAAGTCTTTTCTTTTTTTTCCTTTCTTTTTTTTTTTAGGAGCACTCTTCTAATTATATGATGGAAGCTTAGAATTGGTGGGATGTCACTAGGCCTAAGATCCTTATTATTAGTTACCTATACTTATTGTGTGTAGGTTCACCCTATTCACACAGCACCAATTTGGCATCAGCCTCAAATTTGTCATTTGTCATGTGAAAGGGTTCTCCAAAACAAAGGAGGAATAGAAAAATCTTTGGAGTGGCCAAATCTAACAAAATAAAGCCTAAAGTATCTTCTTCTGGAATCGTTTTCTCTGTAAGACTCTAACACCCATATTTGAAACCACGAGGTCATAGGAATAAAGCTGAACCAAATTGAACAGATCATAGTCCAATCTCATTTTACAGATAAGGAAACTGATGCCCAGAGAGATTAAATGATTTGACTAAGGTTACAATAAAAATAATTGACAGAATTGAGATTTAAACTTATGTCTCTTGACTATAAGTCAAGTGCTCATTCTATCATGCCAGATATTCTTCCAATCTCCTAAAGATATTAATATGCTATAAATATTAGCATACTTCCTGAACTCTGGTTCTTTCAGTCATTGGTCTATCTCAAGTAGTCTTCCCTCTGTTCCCTGTATTTAATAAGCCTGTTTACTCAATTTTTCTTTATATATATCATCTTATTATTTAGCCCATTGTTGGTACTCAATAAATGTTAAATAATGGTAGTGTTTATGTTTAACAGCTGTAACACTGACTCCAAGGACAGCTGCCCTTTGGTGGTATGTGAAGTGATTTATCTATACATTCCTAAAACACACAAGGAAAGCACTTAGCACTTTAGGCTCCTCTGGGACGAAAGGTGATATATTAAGGTAAGGTATTATTATTATTTAATTCCAAAAGAGGTAAATTACATTGGCAAAATGCTGTTTGATGCTACTGGCAAACCGCTGTGGTCTAACATTTTGATGCCATCAGGAAACGTGGTTCGGTGGTTAGAGTTGTGGGATAGGATGCAAGAGTCCTGGGTACTATTTCTGGTTTGTTCACTGACTTGCTGAATGACCTTGGCTAAGCTATTTAACCTCCCTATGCCTCAGTCTCCCCCCTCTATGAGATCAAGAGAGTGATGCTTGTTGGTGTCCTGATTTTAAAGGAACATCTTAAGTGTCA